CCAATTGACGCCAAAGTTGCTGTAAGACTAAACAAGCAAAGTAATAAATCTGAAAACAAATTCTGGACTTTGCGGCTTACAGGGAGCAGCAGCGCATTTGCGACATGCCCGCATCCTCCCGAAAACGGTGACGGACGGCACGAAAAACGTAATCAAACCTAACGGTAACGACCTGCCCGAACGACAAATGAACGCCATTAGTCTGGGCAATGAAAATTGCAGCGACTGCTTCGTACAACGCTGTTCCGTCCTGCAAAAAAAAAAATATATATACTAACAAAGAAATGTCTTTAATTCATGAAATTAACAGTCTTGCCGTAGAGGTGCAACTAAGAACGGAGGAAAGTGTGGAGGTATCTGTGCTCCCGACAAAACTGTAGTTTGATGAAATCGAGATTTCATTACTCTTATTTCCGAAAAATTTGCTGCTTGGGTTTCTGTCTGTTCATTCTACTACTCGTCGACATAATACTACCACTACCGAATTTGACATTCTTACCAGTGATGGCAGATCTTTCTGCTACCCGGAACTGAGAATTCATTCGCTAAGTTGGACAAACTTTATCAGAAAAATTGGCTGGTCACCACCTTTTTTTGCACTGGCAGCTAAGGTTCCAAAATGTTGCAGTTCAGCGTGATTTCTCGAGGTCATTTTGGTAGGTTACACTGGTCGAAAAAAACTAATGGCACGGACCTCTCGACTGACACGCTACATGAAAATCTAAGTACCATACCATATTGATGGTTGCTCCAACCGGTAGAACAAATCGAGTAACTCTGCGATCGATTCCCAAATTCTCTTCCAGACATTTGAATGTCATTGGAAGTGTTGCAGAACTGAATGAAGCATCCTCAGGGTCAGGTTACAAGATAGAATCGTATGTCATATATTACAATGAAAATGTTTCATTATCATTTTTTATAGACAGCGACTGACTGTTAAATCACGCATTTTCATAAACCCTAAGCTTGATACGTTATGACTTCGTTTATTATTTGTTGTTATTATTATTTATCAAAATTATTAATCTATCCTCATTTCTGTTTCTACAAGTATTTTGCGAGAGAATTTGTCTCTCTCAAACCATTTTTAGCCCTTCACGTGTATTATGATGTCGCGAAAAAAAGAGAAAACTGCAGTCGAAAAAAAAATTCGAGTAACTGAAAATCATTAAATCTAACATGCGTTCCTCGTGCCACTCAAGGTCAAAGTCGCAAAAGCAGCTTATTTAGTGTCCACTCCGCTCACGTATTTTTTTCTTACTATAATTACAATAGAGGCTGGTAATGGTGAAATTAGTGGTTCATAAAATAAATCACAAAAGCAGCTTAATTTTCTCATAAAATATTGAGATTATTTGACTGAACTCTAGAAGCGATAAAGAGAAACCTGGATGCAGTCCCAAGTGCAGTGACCCATGCCTGCAGCAAACCTCGCATGTAAGCGAATGGA